CCGGGGGGGGGTCCATCACATGATGCCGTTGGTGAGGTACTGGAAGCCGTCGTAGAGCTTGGTGGTGATGGAGCGCATGCTGCCGTCCACCATCTGCTCGATCAGCAGCTGCAGCTGCTCCTCCGTCATGTTCATGTGGAAACGCTCCTTCAGGTTGCGGATGGTGGAGGAGCCGTGGAAACAGGGGAGCTGCGACCCTGGGGGGGGGACACAAACACACAAACACACACACAGGGTCAGCACAGCCCCCCCTCACCCCGGGGGGGCTCGGTGGGATCCATCCCCGGGGGGGGTCCTTCCCTCCTCGCTGTCTCTGGGGCTGGTTTGTAGGACCCGGAGTCACAACCCACCCCCCACTGCGGCCTGGGCTGAGGAAAGGGCAACCCCCTCCCCCTTGGGGGGGTCTTTTAGGCTTCCCCGGAAGCCCCCCCCCACCTGCAGGACCTCTCCAGGTGAACCCCACGAGCTGCCCTTCCAGGGTCAACTTGTCCCAACTCCCCCCCCTGACCCCCCCCTGCGCTTACATCCACAAACTCAGTGGTGAGTTTGAAGGCAGAGGTCTCGAAGCCGAGGTTCCTGGGGGAGCTGGAGAGGATGAACCCGAAATCGATGTGGATTATGTGTCCGTCCGCGTCCAGCAGGATGTTCCCGTTGTGCCTGCAGGGGTGGGGGGGGGGAAAAATCTCCATTAAACTTCACCAACAGCCCCAGGAGCAGCAGCGGGGGGCAGCACTGACCACTCCCAGGGTCTCCCTCCTGAATCCAGGGACAAAAACGAGGAATCCCGGCAGGAGAAACATCTCGGGGTGGGGGGGACACTCGCCTGTCCTTGACCTGCAGGAGGTAGCAGACCAGGCAGTAACCGGCGCAGCTCTGCACGAAATTCCTCTGGGCCGTCAGGAAGGATTCCGTGTTGTAGTTGCCGTGTTCCTGCAGGAAATAATCCAGCAGCGAGAGCAGGGATTGTTTCTTGATTTGGTGGATGGACACAGCGTTCACCACGGGCTCAATCATGCCGCTGTCGGCGGAGATGACGAGGATTTTGTATGGCTTGATCCAGAGCGGGACCCGCTCCTGTTCCCAGATGGACTGTGGGGGAGATGGAAAAAAAAAAACAACCCCTCAGGGATCTGGGGTGGCCCCGGGCAGCCACGGCCCCCTCCCCCTTGGGGCAGCCCCTCTCCCCCCTCACCTGCAGCTGCTTGAGGACCTGGAAGGCGAGCAGCTCCTGCCGCAGATCGTCCCCGCACTTGACGATGACGGAGAGGAGGCGCCAGGAGGGCAGGTGGCCGTAGGGAGACCCTTCCCGGATCCTCCTGTGGGGAAGGGGCAGGGAAATGAGGGGGGTCTGACATTGGGGGCTCAGGGAATGCTCATTGGGACCGAAGCAGAAGGAGCTGCGGGGCCCAGGACGGCAGGAACCACACACCAAGCCCTCACCCAACCACGGGGCAAAGCCCCCCTGAGCCACCAGCCGCCTCCGAGAGGAGCAGGAGGGAATTGGTTCTCCCCGAATCCCCCAGCCCCACGGGGACCAGACCCACCCCAGATTTCTGGAGCCCCGAGGGCTCTCCCTCTTGCTCAAACCAGAATTTGGGGGTTGGACACAGAACTCTGAGAGCAGGAACATGAACGAGATTATTTTGGGAACGGCCAAACTCTTGGGAGGTAGAAGGTGGCTACAAATTCCTGGAAAAGCCCCTCAAAGCCTGACCCAAGAGCAGCAAATCTGCTGGGGATCTTCTCCCTCCTCCGACGCACCCCCTGATCCCCCCCCCGAGCCCACACCCCCCGCCCCGGGGCCCAAAGTCAAGGCCACAGCCATCGACCGGGCAATTCACGGAGCCATTTCCTCCGATTCCGGGGAATGTCCAAAGTCCAGGAGTCCCTCCCCAGCCCTACCTGACTTTCTCCTGCCAGGGCTCCTTCAGGGCCACGGCGGAGGGGTCCTCGGGGTCCCTCCTGAAGGAGGTGGGGGTGTGCGCCAGCTGCTCCGAGAGCCGCCGCCTGCAAAGGCAGAGCCCGTCAGGCAGCGAAACCAATTCTTCAAGGAGAAAGTAGCATCATCCCCCTCCCCCAGCCCCCAACCCTGCACCCAGAGCCTCTCGGAGCCAAAGCACTTTAAAAACCTCAGGGATTCACCCCAAATCTGGGCGAATCTTCACTCCCACATCCACGGGGAGGAGAGACACCAGGGGAGGCTGCACCAGCCCCGAGTGTCTCACGCTGCCCGGGGTCTGCATGGCCCCCCCTTAACCCACACACATACTTTTTCTTTTTTTTTTTTCCCCCCCAGGAATTTAACAGATAAAATTTCCCAGCACCTGAGCTCAGAACCCTCCCCGGAGAAGCGGGTGCCTGGGCTGCTCTCTCCTCTCCAGCCTCACCTGATGTCCCCGGCGGCGATGAAGACGGGCTCCCGGCTCTCCTGGCTGGTGATGCTGTCCACAGAGAACTGGGAGATGTTGTCACAGCTGTTGGTGTGAATCTCCGGCAGCTGGGAAGGGAAAAGGGGGGAGAGGTGGGATGGGGTGGGGACAGGGAACGCAATTCCCACTCTTTTTGGAGCTGGGATGGCACGGAAAGACCTTCCCATCCTCCCACATCGCCGCCCTCGGCCTCACCTCCACCTGCAGCTCCACGATGTCGTCCACGGACCAAGCCTCGTCGTCGTTGTCGTAGTTGGGGACGGTGGTGAAGCTGCTGGTCCTCTGCTCGTGCGTGATCCCGCACTCGGGCAGGTTCTCGGCCGAGCGCGTGCTCCGGATGCGGTTCTCGGGGATGCGAGCGGGCACATTCGCTGTGTCGAAATTGTCACATTCAAGTACTTCAACGTAGATTAAATAGGGAGCCTGGGGGGTGTGAAAAAACCAAGAGTTAGAAGGACACGGTCCATGGAAGCAGCGATGGGACAAGGGGGGAGGGTTTGACACTGAAAGAGGGGAGATGGAGCCGAGATGTGGGGCAGAAGGTCTTTGCTGTGAGGGTGGTGAGAGCCTGGAACAGGTTGTCCCAAGGAGCTGTGGCTGCCCCATCCCTGGAGGGGTTCAAGGCCAAGGTTGGAGGGGGCTTGGAGCAACCTGGGCTGGTGGGAGGCTGCTGGGGGAGCCTTTCAGGTCCCTTCCAACCCAACCCATTCCATAATTCTGTGACTCTGTAAGTGCCAGGCTCTTGCAGTTTATACCTTCCAACCCAAACCATTCCATAATTCTGTGACTCTGCAAGTGCCAGGCTCTCGCAGTTTATGGTTTTTCTTTTTGGCATGTTTTTGGGGCAAAGTTGTGCTTCTCAGCAGCTGTGGGACAGCCCCCAGGGCAGGGCTGGACCTCCCAGAGCCTCCTAAACGCACCCATTTCAGGCTCTCGCAGTTTATGGTTTTTCTTTTTGGCATGTTTTTGGGGCAAAGCTATGCTTTTCAGCAGCTATGGGACAGCCCCCAGGGCAGGGCTGGATGTCTCAGAGCCCCCCAAACGCACCCATTTCGAGGGACAGTCACTCTCAGGGGTATTTCTCCCCCTCCCAGACCCCTCTCCCCACCGCCCCCAGCCCCGGGAAGCATTTTCTGTGGCTCGATGGCCAAAAAGGGGCTGAGCCGAGGCCAAAATCACAGAATCACAGAATCTTCTAGGTTGGAAGGGACCTTCAAGATCATCTTGTCCAACCGTCAACCCAACTGACAAAAATAGACACCCCCACAACAAACAAGGAGCATCATCACTAAACCATCCCTCCCAGCACCACATCAACCCGGCTTTTGAACACCTCCAGGGATGGGGCCTCAACCCCCTCCCTGGGCAGCCCATTCCAAGGGCTGAGAACCCTTTCAGTGAAAAATTTTTTCCTAATATCCAGCCTGAACCTCCCCTGGGGCAACTTGAGGCCATTTCCTCTCGTCCTGTCGCCTGTGACTTGAGAAAAGAGACCGACCCCCACCTCTCTACACCCTCCTTTCAGGGTGTTGGAGAGAGCAATCCCTGCCTTTTGAGGCAAAAACCAGTTCTCCAGCTCTCCATCCGTTCCCTACCTTGTCCTTGGAGTTGAGGACGACCGCCTGGGTGTGGGGCACCCTCACCACGTGGTGGTCGAAGCCGGCGGTGGGGAGCCAGGCGCGGGCCGGCAGCTTGTGGTTCAGCAGCGAGAGCTCGGAGATGAGCCGCTGGGTCTTCTGCTCTTTGGTGGGCAAGGTGGCCAGGCGCTTCCCGATGGCGATCAGGGACTTGATGAACTCCCTCTCGGGGGCAAGTCTGACGGGCTGGAGAGGTTCAAGGGTTGGGGGGAGAGGGTTAGAAAAGCAGGGGGGGGGTGGTAACGCCAGCAGTTCTGCAGGCACCGGGATAAACTCTATCCAGATAAAGTTCTCTTCTCATCCCAACCTCTTCCCCTGCTCTCGGATGATGCTCCCATCACCGGGCTCAGCACCCGGGAGCAGAGCAGGGGTGGGATCAAAGCACTTTCCCCCCCCTCCCCCTTCCCCTTGTCCCGTATCCAGGATTCCTCTTCCCGGAGACTCCGGAGCCGCCATCCCCATCCCAACCCCCGGAGCCACCAGAGGGAGCGCGAATCGGCCTCGTCCCCGGCTCAACGCCGGGATTTTCCCTCAATCCTCACCCCAGAGCCTCCATCGTGGCTCAATCCGACCATTTTGCCAAGATCAAACCACATTCCAGAAGCCCCTTGGCCCCCAGGAGCCCCCCCCCGCGCCCCTTTATTCGATCTAAATCACAACAACAAAACCGATTGCGGCTGATTTTTGGTCATTTTTAAGATGCAGGATTAAACTTGCAGAGTGTTCCCCGTGGGATCATGCTGGGGAGGCACATGCAAAAAGCCACGGAGCGTGAGAACAAGGAAGCAAAGGAAAAAACGCCGGAGAGAGTCGGGAACGGCCGGAGAGGAAAATAAAGGGATGGTGAGAAGAGGAGAAGGATCACTCTGGGGGTTCCCTTTTGGGAAAAGGGCAGGTGGGAAACCGTTTGTATCTGTAGTCCACGTCAAAAATCCTTCCCAAAGCCCTTCCTGTCCACATTGCCAGGGAGATCACTTCCCCCCGGCCCAGGCAGAGGATAAATATTTAAACCCCTGCACCAGGGGATGCTCCGTCCCCCCGAGGGGCTGGAAAACGCCTGGTCCTGGCTGGACCCTGCCCTGCCTCGGCTCCTGCCACCCTGGACCCCCTGGGACCATTCCCCTCGATTGCATTTCATCCAATTTCTGCAAAAAAAACACTATCCAGAGGCTGCTCCACTTCTCCCGACCCCTCTCCCACCGAGTCCCGGCTCCTCCCAGGACCTTCTCTCTGGGCGCTGCCGGTCTCCGGGTTGGGGATGTAGTTGTCATTGTCACTAAAACAGCCCCAAACCCCCATCGAGGTCCCTGTCAGTCCCTCATCTCGGCAGAATAATTCAATGAAAGAGTCCCCGGGTGGGGAATTTGGGATTGTGCCCACGTCCAGGAGCAGCCCAGGAGGCAAAGCCCTCCTGGTTCCGACCTCCATTGATCTACCACGAGCGCCCTTTTCCTCCAGGGATCCCAAACCATCTCCTGAAGCATCTCCTCCCCGTCAGGCAACAACCCATCACCTCCACGGCTCATCCACAGCCCCCACGTCCACGCTCCAGCTGAAAACCTCCAGCTCCTGGCTCCTCCAGCCACAAACACGGGGCTGGGAAACGTCCTCCCCATCCCGCCCCGCTCCGGAGGCGTCCCCCCGGGGGCTGCCCCGCTCCTCGGCGTTATCGGGGGACTCAGCACGGGAAGTTTTGCATCCTGTTACGGAGAAAGCAGCTTTGGGAAACGGCATCAGCTGAAGCCACAGCAGGAAATGCCGTCCCCAGCCCCTCCGGGGACCGAGAGCACCCGTCCCACCAGCACAGGGGGGTCCAGACCTGCCTCTGCCCCTTCTCCTCAGCACCTCGCTCCTGCAGCCAAGCGAGGAGAGGACGGGAGATGCTCTTCCCTCATCCCACCGCCCGAAGGATCCTTTCTGTTGCTCCTCTCCAACATAAATATTTACTTTCCACCGTTTACTTTCTTGCTGCAGCAAAACATCTCGGGGAAGGACACGGTCCCTGCTCCTCCAGCCGCCTCCGTGTCCTCCTTCCGCTGAGACACGCTCCAGGAGCCTCCTCCTCCTCCTCACCCGGGGTCAAGCTGCTTCCCAGCACCGGGCAGGAACGGGGACATGGCTCCGGGCTCTGGGACTGGCTGAGGAGGGAGCCCCAGGTGAGGAGGACACCCCCCAAACCCAGGGGGGGTCATTTGGGGCCCTTCCCAGCCCCAAAACGGGAGGTTTTCCAGCTGCTGAAGAGCTTTCTGCTGTTCTACCCACTCTTGTGCCCACCTCTGCCCCGAGGTCCCACCTCTCCTCCGCTCCAACCATCACAATTTGTTATTTGGGAGCTTTATGCAGCAAAAATCCCGTCCCATCCCCATTTCTGCTGCCCCCCCGGGAGCTGCTCTGTGGGAACTGGGAAGACCCCGTGGGGCAGAGTCCCTCCAGCTTCTTTGCCCCAAGGATTTGGGGTTGATAACTCCCCCCACCAGGATTTATCAACCCCACGACCACCCGGTGAATTCGGTGTAAATGCTTCCAAAGAGCCCCAAGAGGCTGCAAAAAACCATCTCCCGTGGACAAAGAACCTGCAAAGGCAGGAGGAAAAGCTCTCCTGGCACCGTCGGGATGGAGGGGGTGATGGCAACGGCCATCAGGAGGCTCTGTGGACCCCCAGCCTCAAAAAGCCACCGGAGGAGGGGACATCGCTGCCTTTGGGAGCAGCAGGAAGGGGGGAAATAAAGGAACTTACCTAAATTTGGGTGGTAAATGGGGACATGGGGCTGGTGTCCTACCTCCCACCCAACTGCCAGCTGCCCCAGCAGCACCCCGCCATCCCTGGCATCCCAAAACCAGCGGATTGGGAGGAGATTTATAAAAATATAAAAGGAAAATATATAAAATACAAAAATATAAAACATAAAACCTGCATCAGGGTGTGCTCAGGGGTAAAAGCCTCCTGCCCTGGGTCTGCAAGCGGTCGCGGCGTCGATGCTCCTGCCTCCCTCCCGCCTGCAGCAGGAAAGGTGTGAAACCCCCCCCTCCGGGGACGTGACAAATAACTCCGGATCAAACCTAAAAAGGCTGGAATTCACCCCAGAACAAAGCCCGTCCCCTGAGGACGGGGCTCCCCGAGGCACCGGAGGGCAAGTGGTTTTGATCATGGACTACACATTCAACGTGCGGGGAGCCCAGCAGGAAACTGGGAATCCCAGAGGGAAAGAGGCACCCACCGTCAGGAAAATGACACAGATGAGGAAGATGCTATTGATTTAAAAAAAAAAAATATATAAATTAATAAAAAAGGCTCATTTTGAAAGAAAAACGCTCTAATTAAGGAATAATTAAAGAAACGCTGGGTTTTGATTGAAAGACCAAAATTTAACACACAGAAAAGGAGGGGGGAAAAATAATGATTCGTGGAAAAAAAAACAAGAAAAAAACCAAACCAAAAAGCAAATTAAATCCCATCTGGCAGAGAACTTTTAAGTAAAAAAAAAAAAATCAAGGAAACAGCATTTCCTCTTCCTTCTGCGGACGCCGCCAGGCAAAGGTCAGCGGCTGCCGGGACCCGGATCGTCCCTCCCCACCCTCTGCCGCTCGGATTCGGCACCGGGGGGTCATTCTGGGGGGGCAAAATGAGCCCCCCGGGGCACCCCCCCCCAGCCCCAGCCCCATGGGGATTGCTGCTTTATTTTAGCCAAACCACTGCAAGCAAATTTGCCCCAAACTCCCGTTTCTGCCGGTGTTTTGGGGGAAACCTTCCGTCGGAGCCGGCAGGGGGGGGACCCCGGGGGGGGGTTTGGGGGGCAGGTGCCATGGAGGG